CATGCCTATATAAATTATTATGAATTAAATTATTATTAATTAAAAAACAAAATGATTTTACCTGAAAATGATAATGATATATTATTCTTGGTTCCATAAAACTTAATTTGGTTCCTTGTAATAAAAATTCTCTTAATGTATAATCAGTTGTAGATGTGCGACCTAAAGTTTGTACTTTCCATTCATTCCCATATTCACTAATTTCACCCTCTTCAGGCCAATATCGAGCACATTTATTCTAAAATTATGTTTAAAATAAAATCAATAAAAATGTAACAGTATACATATTTAAATATATTTTATTTACATAATTAAATTTTTTAAATTGATCAAATTAAGAATTTATTTTTGGAAACAAAATAAATTATACTTAATAATCTCACTTTTCCTCTCTCCATTTCTTTTGTAGTCATTACAATTACTCGAGTATTTTCTTGATAAACCATATACCAAAAATCAGCAATTGTATTTGGTAAACATCCTTGTGTTGCAATATAATACTTATTAAATATTCCATTATCTATATTTCCTATTATACCTGATTCTTCTTCATTCTATAAAGGTTAAAATCAGTTAATTATAAAAAATATATCATAACGTAATTATATTTTATATAATAGTTTACTTTAATATAATTAGCATTGATGTAATCTGAACCTGGAATATTTGAATCAGCATCTTTCAACTTAACTCTTGTGTGATCAACTGAAAGCCGCAAAAATTAATAAATTAATATCCTGATGTATACATTCATGACAATAAATAATACATTTATCTTACATGGTAAAATATTTTTATATCTATTCTTAGCACGATTCTCTGGTCTAAGACCTTCTTTTCTTGAAAATAAATGTCTGCATTCTAATTGCTGTAATGATTCAAATTCTTCCCAAAAACCAGCTTTTCCTTTACTTCGTCCAGTTCCTTCATCATTACCACCATTCTCTTTTAATTGCCTTACTCTACTTTCAATACCACTTGCATTTATTCTAGTAGCATTGAATGGTTGTCTAAAATATTTTTATTTATTTTATGAAATTTTCAGATACAGCTTATTTACTATAATAAAATTTAGTTAGTATTAGAAAGTAAGTTTGCGATATGGATTAGAAAATATAATATTTAAACAAATAAAAATTGGTACATAATAAGACTTTGCAAAAATTATATATATTACAATTAATAAATACTTGTTTAATACTACATACATGATACTAACCTCAAATGTACAACACTTCCACTAGTTTCTACCATTGGATTTCGTTTATAATGTTCAATTAAATCACTGAGGCTGTCAAATTTTTCTCCTCCTCCAACGTCATATTTATTATCCTATAAATATATTAATTATACAAATTATATATAATATAAAAGTGGCTTATTTATTATACCGATATTGTTTTTTATATTATTTAACATACAAATCATTACCTGAGATCTAATCATAACATGTGTAACACGATCATCAGTACGTACTGACAAAACAAAGTCTCCAGGTTTACTTTGGGATTCTCGAACTAAAAATGAGCCATTTTTCCCACGTTCTATCATCAGTCTTTCTGCTTCTTTTGCTGACAAATGGCCATGAAACCATCTTTATAAACAGTAATTCAAATATAAATATAAGTAATAAGTTTAAAATAGGTTTTTATTTTTTAATTAAATAAATTGAAATATTTGAAATTACCTTTCAGTTGTTGGATCTGCACAGTTTAAGGGGTATTTTAATTCAATAACTTCACCATTTTTCTCTCGCAATTGTCCACCATTTTCCATATAAAACTGCACTAATTCGGATAGTGTAGCAAATTTTTCTCCTCCATAAAGATCATAAAAATCTCCTGTATTTTGAATTTTAATATGAGTTACTTCACCATTGCGCCTAAAGTATATCAAAAGAAATAAATAAAATAGTATAAATGTTAGAGATAATATTATTTTATTTTAAATACTTATTCACCGAACAGATAGTGTAAAATCACCAGGATTGGAAGAACTAGGTCGTGCCAAGAATGAACTATCATATCCTCGTTCCATTAAAAGTCGTTCTGCTTCTAGACCAGTGATATTTGGATGAAACCATCTATAATATAAATATTAATTCATAAACTGGCTTATATATGATTTTCAGAGGACAATATATTTAATATTAATGCTCTTCAAAAATGTATAGTACTCATTAATAGACACTAAAAATATTACATTAAATATTTTTGAAGATTATATTTATTGAATAATAGTATATCAGTCTTAATAGTTTATACACAAAGTGATACAAAAGATTAAAAATAAGGTAGTTTTTAGAAATACGATGCAATATTTTTTGATAAATTTCTAAAAATTTCTGAAAAATAAAATTTCATGTGCAGTTTTTTAGCTATTCTCATATGTGATATTAAATTATCGCTATCAATGACTAAACTTTTACCTAACTTCACATTACGCCCAATAAAACAAAAGCGGCAAGAGAACTATATCCAAATCTTATGTCTAGAAACTCAACAATATATATTTTTGCATTAAAACAAAATATTTCGTGTAAAACTTATCATATTATATTTTTTGTAGTTACAGAACATAAAAAACTTTGTATCTTTTATGAAATTAACTTAGCATTAATGTTGTTTATATTAAAATCGATGTGTTAAGATCCATCAAACGAATATTTTTAAATTGTAGAAAAGTTGTTTTAAACAATATTTCAAATTAATTCTTTACCTCCAAACACTGAAAATGCAAAATAATGTGCATTCTAAAGAATTATAGTATTAATCTATTAAAATAGCTATTAATAATCTTATGAATATAATAAAAAAATCAAATTTATATAAACGAAGAACAATCTAAATTTTCCTGATAAAAATAATTATCTAAAAATATAATTATTTATGTGAGTAAATAAAGATCATTTTTAGAACAGATAAATCACTGAAATAGATTGAATGGAAAAACGTCTTTTTTCTAATAA